AGAAACAGACCAGGTTACTCCAGGTGCATAATCGAAAAAGACGTGAAACTTAATATTATGCAGTTTCCAACCTAATGTTCTATCCAGTTTTAAGGATATTAAGCAAAGTTGTAGCCCTCATCAAGACGAACAAGTTTCGTTAATATCTTCTTAACAAAAAATGCAAGCGTAAGGTTTTACGTTCTGCGCATGCGCAGACCTTCTCCTTCCCAGCCGGCATTTCGGTCTGGAGCTCTATCTGCCTGAAACTTTGGCCGAAAAGTTGATGTCACGAAAAATGTCCATGAAATCATTTTCTGAATCAGAATTTTACGCTAAATCCAATGGTGATAGTGTCGTCCCCAGCCGCCGCATTGGTCCGGAGTTATGGAAGGTTATGTACTGCGCATGCGCAGATCTATCTTCGTAAATACGCATAATTTGTTGAAAGGATGTTAAGCAAAGTTGTAGCACTCATCAAGGCGAAAAACATTCGTTAATGTCTTCTTAACAAAATATGCAAGCGTAAGGTTTTACCTTCTGCGCATGCGCAGACTTTCTCCTTCCCAGCCGGAATTTCGGTCTTGAGCTCTATCTGGCTGAAACTTTCGCGGAAAAGTTGATGTCACGAAAAATGTCCATGAAATCATTTTCTGAACCAGAATTTTACGCTGAATCCAATGGTGATAGTGTCGTCCCCAGCCGCCGCATTGGTCCCGAGTTATGGAAGGTTATGTACTGCGCATGCGCAGAACTATCTTCGTAAATACGCATCTTTTGTTGAAAGGATATTAAGCAAAGTTGTAGCCCTCATCAAGGCAAACAACATTCGTTAATGTCTTCTTAACAAAATATGCTTCCCAGCCGGTAATTCGGTCTGGACCTCTATTTGGCTGAAACTTTCGCGGAAAAGTTGATGTCACGAAAAATGTCCATGAAATCATTTTCTGAATCAAAATTTTACGCTGCATCCAGTGGTGATAGTGTCGTCCCCAGCCGCCGCATTGGTCCCGAGTTATGGAAGGTTATGTACTGCGCATGCGCAGAACTATCTTCGTAAATACGCATCTTTTGTTGAAAGGATATTAAGCAAAGTTGTAGCCCTCATCAAGGCGAACGACATTCGTTAATGTCTTCTTGACAAAATATGCAAGCGTAAGGTTTTACGTTCTGCGCATGCGCAGACCTTCTCTTTCCCAGCCGGAATTTCGGTCTGGAGCTCTATCTGGCTGAAAGTTTCGCGGAAAAGTTGATGTCACGAAAAATGTCCATGAAATTATTTTCTGAATCAGAATTATACGCTGAATCCAATGGTGATAGTGTCGTCCCCAGCCGCCGCATTGGTCCCGAGTTATGGAAGGTTATGTACTGCGCATGCGCAGAACTATCTTCGTAAATACGCATCTTTTGTTGAAAGGATATTAAGCAAAGTTGTAGCCCTCATCAAGGTGAACAACATTCGTTAATGTCTTCTTAACAAAATATACAAGCGTAAGGTTTTACCTTCTGCGCATGCGCAGACCTTCTCCTTCCCAGCCGGAATTTCGGTCTTGAGCTCTATCTGGCTGAAACTTTCGCGGAAAAGTTGATGTCACGAAAAATGTCCATGAAATCTTTTTCTGAATCAGAATTTTACGCTGAACCCAATGGTGATAGTGTCGTCCCCAGCCGCCGCATTGGTCCCGAGTTATGGAAGGTTTTGTACTGCGCATGCGCAGACCTATCTTCGTAAATACGCATCTTTTGTTGAAAGGATATTAAGCAAAGTTGTAGCCCTCATCAAGGCGGACAACATTCGTTAATGTCTTCTTAACAAAATATGCTTCCCAGCCGGAATTTCGGTCTGGACCTCTATCTGGCTGAAACTTTCGCGGAAAAGTTGATGTCACGAAAAATGTCCATGAAATCATTTTCTGAATCAGAATTTTACGCTGAATCAAATGGTGATAGTGTCGTCCCCAGCCGCCGCATTGGTCCCGAGTTATGGAAGGTTATGTACTGCGCATGCGCAGATCTATCTTCGTAAATACGCATCTTTTGTTGAAAGGATATTAAGCAAAGTTGTAGCCCTCATCAATGCGAACAACATTCGTTAATGTCTTCTCAACAAAATATGCAAGCGTAAGGTTTTACGTTCTGCGCATGCGCAGACCTTCTCCTTCCCAGCCGGAATTTCGGTCTGGAGCTCTATCTGGCTGAAACTTTCGCGGAAAAGTTGATGTCACGAAAAATGTCCATGAAATCATTTTCTGAATCAGAATTTTACCCTGAATCCAATGGTGATAGTGTCGTTCCCAGCCGCCGCATTGGTCCCGAGTTATGGAAGGTTATGTACTGCGCATGCGCAGAACTATCTTCGTAAATACGCATCTTTTGTTGAAAGGATATTAAGCAAAGTTGTAGCCCTCATCAAGGCGAACAAAATTCGTTAATGTCTTCTTTACAAAATATTCGAGCGTAAGGTTTTACGTTCTGCGCATGCGCAGACCTTCTCCTTGCCAGCCGGCATTTCGGTCTGGAGCTCTATCTGGCTGAAACTTTGGCGGAAAAGTTGATGTCACGAAAAATGTCCATGAAATCATTTTCTGGATCAGAATTTTACGCTGAATCCAATGGTGATAGTGTCGTCCGCAGCCGTTGCATTGGTCCCGAGTTATGGAAGGTTATGTACTGCGCATGCGCAGATCTATCTTCGTAAATACGCATCTTTTGTTGAAAGGATATTAAGCAAAGTTGTAGCCCTCATGAAGGCGAACAACATTCGTTAATGTCTTCTTGACAAAATATGCAAGCGTATGGTTTTACGTTCTGCAGACCTTCTCCTTCCCAGCCGGCATTTCGGTCTGGAGCTCTATCTGGCTGAAACTTTGGCGGAAAAGTTGATGTCACGAAAAATGTCCATGAAATCATTTTCTGAATCAGAATTTTACGCTGAATCCAATGGTGATAGTGTTGTCCCCAGCCGCCGCATTGGTCCCGAGTTATGGAAGGTTATGTACTGCGCATGCGAAGATCTATCTTCGTAAATACGCATCTTTTGTTGAAAGGATATTAAGCAAAGTTGTAGCCCTCATGAAGGCAAACAACATTCGTTAATGTCTTCTTAACAAAATATGCAAGCGTAAGGTTTTACGTTCTGCGCATGCGCAGACCTTCTCCTTCCCAGCCGGAATTTCGGTCTTGAGCTCTATCTGGCTGAAACTTTCGCGGAAAAGTTGATGTCACGAAAAATGTCCATGAAATCATTTTCTGAATCAGAATTTTACGCTGAATCCAATGGTGATAATGTCGTCCCCAGCCGCCGCATTGGTCCCGAGTTATGGAAGGTTAAGTACTGCGCATGCGCAGACCTATCTTCGTAAATACGCATCTTTTGTTGAAAGGATATTAAGATAAGTTGTAGCCCTCATGAAGGCGAACAACATTCGTTAATGTCTTCTTAACAAAATATGCAAGGGTAAGGTTTTACGTTCTGCGCATGCGCAGACCTTCTCCTTCCCAGCCGGCATTTCGGTCTGGAGCTCTATCTGGCTGAAAGTTTCGCGGAAAAGTTGATGTCACGAAAAATGTCCATGAAATCATTTTCTGGATCAGAATTTTACGCTGAATTTAATGGTGATAGTGTCGTCCCCAGCCGCCGCATTGGTCCCGAGTTATGGAAGGTTATGTACTGCGCATGCTCAGATCTATCTTCGTAAATACGCATCTTTTGTTGAAAGGATATTAAGCAAAGTTGTAGCCCTCATGAAGGCGAACAACATTCGTTAATGTCTTCTTAACAAAATATGCAAGCGTAAGGTTTTACGTTCGGCGCATGCGCAGACCTTCTCCTTCCCAGCCGGCATTTCGGTCTGGAGCTCTATCTGGCTGAAACTTTGGCGGAAAAGTTGATGTCACGAAAAATGTCCATGAAATCATTTTCTGAATCAGAATTTTACGCTGAATCCAATGGTGATAGTGTTGTCCCCAGCCGCCGCATTGGTCCCGAGTTATGGAAGGTTATGTACTGCGCATGCGAAGATCTATCTTCGTAAATACGCATCTTTTGTTGAAAGGATATTAAGCAAAGTTGTAGCCCTCATGAAGGCAAACAACATTCGTTAATGTCTTCTTAACAAAATATGCAAGCGTAAGGTTTTACGTTCTGCGCATGCGCAGACCTTCTCCTTCCAAGCCGGCATTTCGGTCTGGAGCTCTATCTGGCTGAAAGTTTCGCGGAAAAGTTGATGTCACGAAAAATGTCCATGAAATAATTTTCTGAATCAGAATTTTACGCTGAATCCAACTGTGATAGTGTCGTCCCCAGCCGCCGCATTGGTCCCGAGTTAGGGAAGGTTATGTACTGCGCATTCGCAGATCTATCTTCGTAAATACGCATCTTTTGTTGAAAGGATATTAAGCAAAGTTGTAGCCCTCATCATGGCGAACAACATTCGTTAATGTCTTCTCAACAAAAAATGCAAGCGTAAGGTTTTACGTTCTACGCATGCGCAGACCTTCTCTTTCCCGGCCGGCATTTCGGTCTGGAGCTCTATCTGGCTGAAAGTTTCGCGGAAAAGTTGATGTCACGAAAAATGTCCATGAAATCATTTTCTGAATCAGAATTTTACGCTGAATCCAACTGTGATAGTGTCGTCCCCAGCCGCCGCATTGGTCCCGAGTTATGGAAGGTTATGTACTGCGCATGCGCAGTTCTATCTTCGTAAATGCGCATCTTTTGTTGAAAGGATATTTACCAAAGTTGTAGCCCTCATCAAGGCGAACAACATTCGTTAATGTCTTCTTAACAAAATATGCAAGCGTAAGGTTTACGTTCTGCGCATGCGCAGACCTTCTCCTTCCCAGCCGGCATTTCGGTCTGGAGCTCTATCTGGCTGAAAGTTTCGCGGAAAAGTTGATGTCACGAAAAATGTCCATGAAATCATTTTCTGAATCAGAATTTTACGCTGAATCCAATGGTGATAGTGTCGTCCCCAGCCGCCGCATTGGTCCCGAGTTATGGAAGGTTATGTACTGCGCATGCGCAGATCTATCTTCGTAAATACGCATCTTTTGTTGAAAGGATATTAAGCAAAGTTGTAGCCCTCATGAAGGCGAACAACATTCGTTAATGTCTTCTTGACAAAATATGCAAGCGTAAGGTTTTACGTTCTGCGCATGCGCAGACCTTCTCCTTCCCAGCCGGCATTTCGGTCTGGAGCTCTATCTGGCTGAAACTTTCGCGGAAAAGTTGATGTCACGAAAAATGTCCATGAAATCATTTTCTGAATCGGAATTTTACGCTGAATCCAATGGTGATAGTGTCGTCCCCAGCCGCCGCATTGGTCCCGAGTTATGGAAGGTTATGTACTGCGCATGCGCAGATCTATCTTCGTAAATACGCATCTTTTGTTGAAAGGATATTAAGCAAAGTTGTAGCCCTCATCAAGGCGAACAACATTCGTTAATGTCTTCTTAACAAAATATGCAAGCGTAAGGTTTTACGTTCTGCGCATGCGCAGACCTTCTCCTTCCCAGCCGGCATTTCGGTCTGGAGCTCTATCTGGCTGAAACTTTGGCGGAAAAGTTGATGTCACGAAAAATGTCCATGAAATCATTTTCTGAATCAGAATTTTACGCTGAATCCAATGGTGATAGTGTCGTCCCCAGCCGCCGCATTGGTCCCGAGTTATAGAAGGTTATGTACTGCGCATGCGCAGATCTATCTTCGTAAATACGCATCTTTTGTTGAAAGGATATTAAGCAAAGTTGTAGCCCTCATGAAGGCGAACAACATTCGTTAATGTCTTCTTAACAAAATATGCAAGCGTAAGGTTTTACGTTCTGCGCATGCGCAGACCTTCTCCTTCCCAGCCGGCATTTCGGTCTGGAGCTCTATCTGGCTGAAACTTTCGCGGAAAAGTTGATATCACGAAAAATGTCCATGAAATCATTTTCTGAATCGGAATTTTACGCTGAATCCAATGGTGATAGTGTCGTCCCCAGCCGCCGCATTGGTCCCCAGTTATAGAAGGTTATGCATTGCGCATGCGCAGATCTATCTTCGTAAATACGCATCTTTTGTTGAAAGGATATTAAGCAAAGTTGTAGCCCTCATGAAGTCGAACAACATTCGTTAATGTCTTCCTAACAAAATATGCAAGCGTAAGGTTTTACGTTCTGCGCATGCGCAGACCTACTCCTTCCCAGCCGGCATTTCGGTCTGGAGCTCTATCTGGCTGAAACTTTCGCGGAAAAGTTGATGTCACGAAAAATGTCCATGAAATCATTTTCTGAATCGGAATTTTACGCTGAATCCAATCGTGATAGTGTCGTCCCCAGCCGCCGCATTGGTCTCGAGTTGTTGAGTTCAATATAAAACTGTATGTTATCCAAATATTAGTATGACGTAATACTGAGAGACAAATGCATGATGGGATTGTTGTGTTGTTAGTTGAACTTCCTCGTGAAAGCAACTTACTGTACAAAACTACATTTGTAATAAACGTGAAAATAAAGAGTGATTTCATTACAAATACGGTGTTCTAAAGTCATGGCTTCAACAGGTTATGGGCCCAGCAGAGAATCACGCTGGTCAAGGTTGACTTTCGATGGAAACGAAAGCAATTACGAACTGTGGGAAGCGAAATTCCTCGCGCACATGAGGTTATTAAAACTAAAGGATACTATCCTGCCGTCTGAAGAAGAGGCTGACGCAACAAAGAACGAAGAATGCTACGCCGAGCTTATACAGTGTTTGGACGACACCAGTCTGTCATTGGTAATGAGGGATGCTACCGACGATGGCCGAAAGGCTTTACAAATACTCCGAGACCATTATGCAAATCAAGGCAAACCAAGAATCATCACACTCTACACTGAGCTAACGTCACTTGAAAAAGCACTTCACGAGACAGTCACAGATTACTTAATAAGAGCCGAGAAAGCAATAACAGCGCTTAAGAACGCCAAAGAAACGTTAAGCGATGGGCTAATAATTGCTATGATCTTAAAGGGGCTGCCTGATTCATATAAACCGTTCTCGATACATGTGACCCAAAGTGCAAGTGAGATAACGTTCGCGAAGTTTAAGAGCATGTTGAGGAGCTTCGAAGAAACGGAAAAGCTCAACACCAAACCGAAAATTGATCAGGTAATGAAAGCTGAGTTTCCTTCGCAAACAATGACATGTTATGGCTGCGGGAAAAGAGGGCATTTAGTCAGAGAGTGCCCTGCTAAGAGCGAGAAGAAGTGGTGTAACTATCACAAAAGTACAACACACTCGGATAGCACCTGCAGAAGTCAGCAAAAGAGCAAAGACCAAGCCAAACAGGTGTCGGAGAAAGAAAACACCTCTAAAGATGAACATTCATTTGCATTCAAAGTTAACGACGAAGCAACAGGGAAAATCAATCGAATGGGAATGTTGGTTGACACAGGTGCCACTTCTCACATTGTTACTACTGATATTTTAAAGCAAATAGACATGACATTTAAACCATCAAAACATTACATTGAACTGGCTGATGGCACACGAGCCAGTAATATTGCATTGAAACGAGGGGATGCTGAAGTGTTTCTGAAAGATACAAATGGAAAATGTGTGAAAACGGTGCTGAAAAACGCCTTATATATACCATCCTATCCTCAAGATATTTTCTCAGTGAAGGCAGCCACATCAAATGGAGCCGAGCTTCGATTTGCCCAAGATACTGGTGAGCTAACCCTTGAAGATGGTACCATTGTTGAAATTGAAGAACATGGACGGTTGTACTATTTGACTTCCATAGACAGTCATGAGAACGATAGCGTAAGTGAAGTAGATAAAGTAAATCTCTCGTATGATATTAACACATGGCATGAAATCCTAGGGCACTGCAATTTTGAAGATATTATAAAACTACAGGGGGTAGTTAAGGGCATGAAATTCTCAGGTAAAATTGAGTCATCTAAGTTAGGTTGTAATACATGTGTAGAAGGAAAATTTGTAAACAGCAGGAGTAGGATTCCTGATGCAAGATCTCAAAAATCATTGGAGAAAGTGCATGTGGATTTGGCAGGTCCAGTTTCTCCTGTATCAAGAGAGGGGTTTAAGTACTGCATAGCTTTTACTGATGATTTCTCAGGAGCAGTATTTGTTTACTTTCTGAAATGTAAAAGTGACACCTTTGTAGCAACAGAGAAATTTCTAGCAGACATCACTCCTTATGGCAAGGTAAGTTGCATCCGTTCTGACAATGGCTCAGAATTTACAGGTAAGGCGTTTCAAACACTACTAAGGGAGCGTGGCATAAAACATGAAACTTCTGCTCCCTACTCGCCACACCAGAATGGCACCGCCGAAAGGCACTGGCGCACATTGTTCGAAATGGGCAGATGTCTTCTTCTTCAATCAGGGTTACCCAAAACTCTCTGGCCCTATGCAATTCAAACCGCAGCTCACATTAGGAATAGATGTTTTAATAAGAGAACAAAGACAACACCCTACTTTAGCCTTACTGGGAAAGTACCTGATCTTTCTAAAATGTGGATCTTTGGATCTGAATGTTTTGCTTACGAACAGGAGCATAAGAAATTAGACTCAAGATGCAGCAAGGGGGTATTTGTGGGATACGACAAAAATAGCCCTTCTTACCTAGTCTACTACCCAAAAAATGGGAAAATCATGAAACATCGACTCATTAGATTCATCAAGAAATGTAGTGTAGAACAGCACACACAAACTGATGAGTCCAGCAGGGATTGTGATGTACATGAGAAATCTGATCATGATACTAGATCAGACTTAGATAGTATGAGCCTCCCTGTTTTAAGTGCAATGCCGCCAAATACAGTGCCTGATGAGGAGCCTAGGGATAGTGAGGGAAGGCATTGCAACCATACTGAGAATGACAGTGAGACAAAACGGTATCCTCAAAGAGAAAGGAACCCTCCCAGATACTTAGAAGAGGACACCCTCCTCCCTAAGAATGCCGATTGTGCCCACATTAGTGTAGATTACTGCTACAAAGTTTGTGGATTACCACAAAATTACACAGAAGCCATGGGATCACCTCAAGCTAGGGCGTGGGAGCAAGCAATGAAGGAAAAGATCAGCTCTCTGAAGGAAAATGATACTTACGAATTATCAACTTTACCAGAAGGTAAAGCTTCAGTAGGGGGGAAATGGGTGTACACAACCAAACAAGATCAGAATGGCATAGAGTCCTTTAAGGCCAGATATGTAGCGAAGGGTTACAGCCAGGTAAAGGGTATAGATTATCAAGAAACTTTCGCCCCGACAGCCAGTATTACTTCAATTAGGGTCTTAATGCAGTTAGCAGTAAAACATGATCTTATTGTCCACCAGATGGACGTTAAAACTGCATATCTGCATGCCCCCATTACTCAAGAGTTATACATAGACCAGCCACAAGGGTTTGAAGAGGTTTCAGAGAGTGGTGAGAGGTTAGTATATAGGCTAAAGAAATCGCTATATGGTCTAAAACAATCAGGTAGAAATTGGAACATATTGTTACACAAGCATTTAGCAAATGACGGTTTTGTCAGAAACCATGCTGATCACTGTGTATATAAGAAACAAGTTGATGATAAAATTGTTATCGTCATTGTTTGGGTTGATGACCTAATCATAGCTTCAGATAGTATGCAGTTAATGGAAGAATTTAAAGAAAGTATGAAGACACAATTTAAGATGAAAGATCTAGGTAGAATCACTTTCTTCCTTGGAATGGATTTTAAGCAAAGCAAGGGTGAAATAAAAATTAATCAGAAAAGATTCATTCTTAAAATACTAGAGAGATTTGGAATGATAGACTGCAAGCCCAGGTTAAACCCATGTGAGCAACGATTAGAATTTAACTGTGGTGAATTGACCAACGCCAGACAGTATAGAGAAATGATAGGAAGCCTAATTTATGCCATGACCTGTACAAGGCCTGATTTAAGTTGGATTGTAAGCAGACTGTCTCAAACTCTGTCAAACCCCAGAACGGGAGATTTAATTGCTGCCAAACATGTCCTAAGGTATCTAAAGGGTACCGTGGATTATGAACTCTGCTTTAAGAAATCTGATGCTGACTTGCAGCTCACTGCTTATAGTGATTCAGATTGGGCCTCTTGCCTGGAAGACAGGCGAAGT